CCTTCGGGGGTTCTCTAACTCAACTGCTTATGTCAAAGGCCCCAAATAGAGCTGCTCAGTGGCAAAGCCCTCTTAAGTAAGGACCCTAATGGTAGCCAAAGCCTACCTTACCCTTGGTCTGTGTATAGGACACAGCCATTCCAGTCTTCCACAAAGCACAGCTAAGCCATTAGGGTTAAATAAGGTAGGGACACACTTCCTCCAGCACCATTTAGAATGGAAAAGTTCTAGGCCTGAATGGGGCCATCAGAGTGGTCCATGGTGGCCACTCTGATTTTGACTTTGCTGCAGACCCCCAAAACAAGACCAGAAATGGGTTAGTTTCTACGCCTAAAACATATGACCTTGACTCAATGGTAATTTTATATCTCATACTTAATATAAAATCAGGCTTTCCTCAAAATATGCTTTTAGATAATTTATTCCCTTTATTGAGAATATCAGACCCTCAAAAGCTTTGGGATGGGAGAGGAGGAGGGAACATTTTAAAAAGCATTAAAAAAATGCATTTACATTGAGTATTACAGTCAGAATTTTTAATAGGCAAGAAGTTTTATTTCAAATTCACTGGTGGAATCTATAAATATATCACTCATTTCCTGGTTGCTTAGGCCATTAAGGGTCTAATCTATTTCCTGAGCCGAAACTAGCTAATGGAAAAATATTTAGAATAGTAATTATCTAGTGAGATGGGCAGTTGGCATCTACTTACCCTAAACATATCCTTGGTCATAATTCCCTTCAGTAATTTATATGGTTTCTAAAGAAATAATCTCACTTTTTACGATGAAAGATCTTTGCTCTACCCCTAATGTTTTATGAATAAGGGCACCCATCTATGACATCCTTCAGTCTCAACACATGTGTACCATAAGGTCAGGAAGTGTATTACTTGCTTTCCTACCAAGTATTTCATTCATGAAGTCAGTGAAAAAAAAATAGGAAAAAGAAAACCTCATGAAGTCAATATTGTTATCATAATCAAACCCAGATTTTATATCTATGGATGGATACCACCTATTTGCAATACTACCCCACAGCTGCAGAGATCCAATTTACTGAGAGCAAACTATGATATGCTGCTGCTGGATTTACCAGGGGCAGCCCACAACGTGACATTCGTAACACTCTCCAAGTTTCATTCCTACAAATTTCTTTCTCTTCTGTGGCCACCATCTCATTGTTGATTATCAGCACACCTCTGACACGTCTGTTATTAGGTGGAGGGTCCAGATGGCAAATTAATTTTTTATATTTAGCCTATGAGAAGCATTATTCACAAGGTAAAAATGCCAGAGGGAAACCCCAAATGTCGGAAAAAGCCAAGCATGACTTTACCTTCCTCCCTTCAGCAAAGTTCATCAAGAGTTGTCTTTGAAAATAATCTACCACAGCCGGGTTTAGGCTCTAGAGCAAAGCCAGCCTTTGAGTTGAGACCTGGGAGTGTGGCACTCATGAGTGAGATTCTGAAATCTGAGCCCACCAAAGATTTCTTTTTTTTTTAATTAAAGATTTTTATTTATTTATTTGACAGAGAGAGACACAGCGAGAGAGCTGTGGGGGGAGAGGGAAGGGAGAAGCAGGCTCCCCGCTGAGCAGGGAGCCCGATGCTGGGCTCGATCCCAGGACCCTGGGATCATGACCCGAGCCAAAGGCAGATGCCTAACGACTGACCCACCCAGGCGCCCCCCACCAGAGATTTCTTTTAAATCAGTATCTATAAAGATACAGAAGTATCTGTACTTTTGTGTGAAGATAAAGCTCAGTAGAAGATGTATTTGATTAGATAAAAATATTACTGGACTCTAAGAAAAATGCCTTTTTTCTTTCAAACAGCATTCTTATACACGTTATTACCTTTCCATAATTCAGACACCAGTGATAAAGCCATTTTATATATTTTGGCACAGAGTATTAATATCATTATTGCTGCCATAAATGTCTCAATCCAAAACAGAATTAGCAGTAATACAGTTCTAGTCCTTTTGGAAACCTCTCCTAAAAAAAAAAAAATTAACTTCATTTCATAAAGAAAAAGAACAAATTTCTGCTAAAGAGGACCAATTTATTCTTTAAAGAAATTTGATTATCAAAGCAAAATAGAAACTCTTTGTTCTGTCTGCTAGTCACATCCTGTGCAGTCATCAGTATCAGTTGTTAAAATTTTTCCTTGTGGGTTTCACATCTATCTTAGATCAATCTTTTTATAACACATTGTCCAGTTGTATTTTGTACATGAGGCAGAAGCATTTCCTGATCTCAACAGGCTTACAAGGCCCTGGAATTGTCCTGGAAAAGAAAACTGAACAATATAACTTACCAAAAAGAAAATGCATCAGAACTCAGTATTAGAGATTCACATGTGATACTGCACCTCCTGATGATGCTATATAGTTGGGCCTCGGACACCACCGACTTGCTTACAACTGTTCTGTGCTTTTCTATTCAGAATTTTAAGTGATAGCAACCACAGAAGCAATTCTCCACATTCTGGAATCTTCCTATGCCCTCTGAAGATCTAACTGATATACTTGTTTTCTGCAGTTCTCAGGGTTAACATTTCCAGGTAAAAGTTTACAAAAGTACCAACAATTAAATAAAAATTAAATATTTGATTCTCATACCACTAAACTCAAATACTTAATTGAAAGACAAGTTCTAGTGTCTGACAACTTTAAGGGTAAACTATCTTTATTTGGTCTTGGATAAAACTGGCATTGGAACAAAACTGGAAAAACCCAAGTAAGTAAGACTCTAGAAAAACTAAAGTAGTCAAAGAATTACAGTCATTTAGGTGTGCTATCATGATCAAAAACTGTTCGGATGACACATTTAAAATAGGTCACAGAAACCTAAAAAGTTTTAGAAAGGTAGGAGTTAATTTGCTAAGGCATCCAAAGGAAAAAATAACTCAACTTCATCATTCAAAACAGAAAAGATTGTTTAAAACAGAAATACCAAAAAAAAATTATTTTCAATATTACAATTTGAACAGGAAAAAAGACAGGTATAAAAATTTATTCTCTTCATTAAGATAATAAAATTGGACTTCTACACAATTGGTGAAAGTAATGAAAATACAGCAAATAATATTTTACATAATGAGAAACATGCAGCCCCGACTAGTACCATGGGCTCCGAGGCTGATTTGTACCATCCCAGCACATCCAGACTAGAGAGAAGATGGTTCTCATCTCTGAGGCCCCATAGAGCCCCACATGTATGGAGGTTTTATTTCTTTATTATTATTATTTTTAAGTAGGCTCCATGCCCAACGTGGGGCTTGAACTCACGACCTCATGGTCAAGAGTTGCATGCTCTGTCAACTGAGCCAACCAGCCACACCTATGTGGAGGTTTTAAAATGTAATTTTCCTCTGTTGGTTTTCTGTTGCTATATAACAAATTACCATAAACTTCATGGCTGAAAGCAACACCCATTTATTATCCCACACCTCTGCAGTCAGGAGTCCAGGTAGGCCCTGCTGGCGTCTGCTCAGGGTCTCACAGGCTGAAATCAAGATGCCTGGCAGGCTGGGTGGGCTCTAATCCAAAGGCTCTGGGGAAGAATCCCCTTCCAAGCTCTTTCTGGTGGTTGGCAGAAGGTAGTTCTTGCAGTTGTAGGAATGAGTCCTGTTTCCTTCCCAGCTGTCACCTGCGGCCTGCCCTCAGTGCCTCAGAAGCAACTGCATTCCTTCCCCTGTGATCCCCTCCATCTTCAAAGCCACAACTGCAGGTGAATGCCTTCTCATACCCCCTAGCTCCTCCACCGCCCTTCTGACGGCAGCCAAAAGAAGCTCTCCGCTTTTAAGGCTCATATGATTAGGTCAGGTTCACTTAGATAATCCAGGATAATCTCCCTATTTTAAGGTCAGCTGTGATACAGAACGTAATTTATTCACAGAAGTCAGATCTCATCATATTCACAGGTTCCAAGGATTAGGGTGGGACATCTGTAAGCAGACCATTTAAACATTTTTGCTTATCAAAAAAAAAAAAAAAGAAAGAAAGAAAGAAAAAAGAAAGTAAACAAAACAAAACAACAAAAGCCAAATGGTTTTGTGAACTTGCCCAAATGTGAAACAAAGATATTCTAAATTCCTTACACTTGGATAAGCAAGATATGCGTACGGTATAAAATAGAATGACCTGAAAGATACAGAGTAAAAAGTAAGACTTGCTTCTAATACTGTCCCTTAGCCCCAGCTCCATTCCCTAGGAACAACAACTGTTTACTAGTTTGTGTCTCTTTTCAGAGATATCCGTATCTAGTAAAGCACATATATTTGGGAAGATTGATATTATCTGTTCCTGAAAAACTGATAGAAGTCCCTTGTTAAATCACCTGGGTCTCAGGCTTTTCTGAAGGGGTTGATGGGGGAGGGGTAAGCGGAGGAGGGGGCGGGGGTGGTAGTGGTTATTCTGTGATAGTTTAGATTTTCTAATTATCTGTGGTTAGTATTGATCATTTCTATTTTCCTTGAAAAATCATCCTTTCTTCCAGGTTCTCAAATTAATTTGCACGGGACTGAGCAAAATATTTTATGATTCTCTTATTCTTTTGTTTCTGCCATTTCCCCATGATTATATCTCATCTATGCTCTCTTCCCTACCCACTTTTTACTAGGTTAGCTAAAGAATTATCTATTTTTTAAAGAACCAGCTCTTTTATTTATTAATCTGATCAATTTTCCTTTTTCTAGTTCATTAATTTTTATCTTTATTCCTACCTTCTGCTGTTTAAGGTTTGTTTTGTTGATCATTTTTCTAACTTTTTGAGTTAGATATTTAATTTGGTTATTTTCTTTCTTTCTTCAGTAAGAGAGGTGCTTCTGAATTCTGCTTTAGTTCTGTCCCATAGGTTCCAATATCAAGTGGTTTTATTGTGTTTTCCCTAGATTTTCCATAACCTTTGGTTTCCTCTGTGATCCAAGAGTTGTTTAAGCAAAAAATTTTAAATGTTCAAATGATAAATTAAAAAATTCCTTTTTTTTTTAAAGATTTTATTTTTTATTTATTTGACACAGAGAGACACAGCGGAAGAGGGAACACAAGCAGGGGTAGTGGGAGAGGGAAACACAGGCCTCCCGCTGAGCAGGGAGCCCGACGGGGCTCAATCCCAGGACCCTGGGATCATGACCTGAGCCAAAGGCAGACGCTTGAGGACTGAGCCACCCAGGCATCCCAATTAAAAAATTCTTTTCTTAATTTTTAGTTTTATTGCAACAAAATTAGAGAGTGCTATATGTATTCCTTTCACCTTCTGAAATTCATTGAATTCCCTTTAGGATCTACTTTTGTGAATGTTTTATTCAGCATTTAATAAGGCCTATTAGCTTTCAGAATACAAAGTGACAAATAGTTGCTTTATTAATTATTATTTTTTAAAGATTTTATTTATTTTTGAGAGAGAGATAAAGAGAGAGAGCACAAGCACAGCAGGGGGAAGGGCAGAAGGAGAAGCCCACTCCCTATCGAGCAGGGAGCCCAACGTGGGACTCGATCCCAGGACCCTGAGATCATGACCTGAGCCAAAGGCAGACACTTAACCAACTGAGCCACCCAGGAGTACCTTTATTCATGATTTTTATTTCGGTTTTCTTTTTCTTATTTCTTGTCTACCTGATCACTTGAACTGAGAGAAGTGAATTAATGTTTTCTTACTACTATCATGTAACTATTTCTCTTCATATTTTCTGCAGTTTTTGCTTTATAAATGGTAGTGGTATACTGCTATTATGAATCATCCTTCTTTGCCTTATTTCAAGCTTTTTCCTCCAAATTCAATCATGTCTGATATTAAAGATGCAATCCTACTTTATTGTGTTTTCCCGGTAAGCTTTTGCCCATGTTTTCAATCTTGTCTGTGTGATTCTCCATTCAGCCCATTACCCCGCTTCCTCTTTCTGCCTATTCAGGGCCAAGGAAGCTCTTGCTGCCACCCCACGCACCCACTCCCATTAGTCTACACTGGGCATTACTGGTTTGTCTGAGATCTGTAGCTGTAGATATCCTTCTTCAACTGCATTTGTCTGTTCCTCATTGCATACTGTGGTTTGGGGTTGCGTGTCTCCTAGTTTCTTTAAAGATGGGGCTCATGTTTCTCCTTTTTGTTCTCCTAGTGCAGTTGGAAGATTTGTGAGACAGAAGGGAGATAATGCCATCAGATATGTTCTAGATTCTAGAATCTAGAATTTGTTTTTTGCCAGTTCTCCTTCACTACCTATTCCCTGCTCTCTGGCCAAAGGCCATGCTCTCCTATGTGCTATAGGTGTTCCTGATAACGGTATGTTCTGGTCCTTAGTACCCTGAGTGAGGAAGGCAGTTTCTTATCTGGCTCTCTGAAATTTGCTCATGTAGTTCCTAGGCTATTTTTGCACTGTCTATATCTACCTCCCCCAGAAGCTTCTGGAAATCCTACTCTTGTTTCTGACTCATGTCTCTCTCTTCAGTTTACAGTTCAGTCTGCCTAAAAGCATATTTTTACCAGCTAATTCAAAGCTGATGCTAAACAAGACAAACCAATGGCTGGGCCACATTATCAATTTGGCGTTCTACCTACTGTGTACAAAGCCCCCTCCTGGGCATTGGTGAGACATACCAAGATGGATGCCTCAGGAACTCATACTTTAGCAGAAAGAAAAAAAAAATATTGTTCCTATACTTCTTTTTTGCTCAATAAACATTTCCATGTAGTCTCCTCAAATGTCATGTCATGTCATCAGCATTATCCATCATTCTCTGGGTCCTCCCTGTATCACGTTAGCTTTCTTAAACAATTAGAGGTAAGTTGCCTTTCCTGTTCAAAGTCTGTACACTCTTGACATGCACATAAAACTGCTACTGTTCATCAGTCCTTGCCTCGGTTGCCACAGCCAAAATAATAAGAGTTGAACTCACAGGGCAGTTGTATAAATTAGGATCCTTTGGCTGCAAAGAATAGAGACTCAAGTTATCTCCCGTAACTGTTTGTGGTTGTGTGTGTGTGAGAAGAGTATCTAGGGGGCATTATCATAGGCTTCACGTGAAAACAAGGAACAAGGTATGCCATGTGGCTAGGCCTCATGGTAATTCATGGAAAGCAGCTTAACCAGGCCTCACGCGAAGTATAGGAACACAGGCTGAGAATTTCAAGTTGCAATTTCAAGTTGTCCAGGATTAGACAGATGTGTAAAAATCTGGTTATAGTTCCTTAGGCCTTTGGCAGCAGTAATTTGTTGATCATCCTCTTCCCCTGCAGATATGAAGTAAAATCTCTGCAGCCCCACGCACACACTTTTTGAAAATCTCATGACTTGGCTCTTACTTATATATCACTCTTGCTTACTCACGGCTTCTAGTGACTCATGTCATCTTTGTCTGCCCTTTTTTCTGGCTAAGTATTGGACTTCTGTTCCTATCAAATAATTCTCTACCTCAAATTTAAAATTTCCTTAAAAGAGAGGATCTGATCCATCCACTATGTCACCATTATGAGTTGGATATATAAAGTACTTGTGCTGGGCCATTTAAAGGGTCAGACTCCCCAAAGCCTGACTGCTTTAGGGCAAATGCAGATGGCAAGGTCATACAGAACATGGCCACCTAGAGTTGTGCCTTGGGTTATATCCTCAGTAAGGTGTTACAGGTAGGATCCCTTAGGGGGAAAAAAAAGGCCTCTGGGTATACAGATATTCCTAGATTTGGCCTGACTAGTACAGTGGTTAAGTTTTCCTCAGTTCTGAGTATCAAACATCATGCATTCTGCCCCAGGTTCTCTTTGACTTCCAAGGTAGATATGCTTGTTTTATTGTATTACATGCTTTTCCTGTATATTTAAATGTAATCACTACCAAGACAAAAGTCCATATGCTATACCACCAAAGGCAAATTTAGTCCAGCCAGCTAGAAATTCCTTGGGAAGAGTTATATCAAATAGCACCTAGTGCTAGCCTCCCAAGGGGTCAAAGTGATTGATATACCCACTTCTATAAAGGAACCATCCATTTACTAAAGCTAGGCAATAATGTACCTAGAAGAAATTGGGGCTTACTTATAATTTTACTTCTGCCACCTAAGACCACATAGACAAAAAGCTTTTTAAATTTCACTTATGACAATTTAGAACTGAATTTCACTTTGCTTATCACAATCCCTGTGAGAATAAAGTTTTACCATCATCTTATAGATTGGAAAAGAAAATAATTCCAGAAGCCAACAATGCCACAGTTTAGAGATGCACTGGATTCAGAGAATAAACTGCTATGGCTTTAAAATTTCAACCACAGCACAGCTGTAAACATCAGCCTGGCCTAGCACCTGAACTGAGACAATAAATGCCTGATTAGGTACAGACATCTGTTTGCTCAAGCCTAGCCATATGCCACTGGATTGAAGAGGAGCCAGTCGTCCACAGGGCCAGAATGTATTCCTTTAAAGCTCCTGTGGGGGAGGGAGGGAGTCTGTCCAATCTGTCCCTGTGTGTGTCTGCTATTTGCCTAATTCTTGCAAAATTATAAACTCTAACAATCAAAAGAATAATCTAATAGTTTTGTTTAGAGTACACAACTGAAGATATTCATCAAACAAAGGGGATATAAATTTAGATAAATTCCTTACAACAAACATTATCATAATAAGGTTTTTCATAAAAATATTTTCAATTGCCAGATAATGATCTATATCTTAAAGGCACATTACTGATGTGGGTAAAAAGAAATAATGCAGAAGATGCATAATACAAGGAACACTTTTCATATCAGACAGACACATACCATACTACTTTCAGCGATCATTTGGTTTTCTTTTTTTTAAGATTTTATTTATTTATTTGACAGAGAGAGACACAGTGAGAGAGGGAACACAAGCAGCGGGGGGGAGGGAGAGGGAGAAGCAGGCTTCCCGCAGAGCAGGGAGCCCAATGCGGGGCTCGATCCCAGGACCCTGGGATCATGACCTGAGCCGAAGGCAGACGCTTAACGACTGAGCCACCCAGGCGCCCCGACAATCATTTGGTTTTCAACCAAGAAGTTCTAAGCACTTACAATTCCAATGTATCAGGAATTATAATGGATATTCAGCATAGGGAAGTGAATTTACCTTCTACTTGCTCTCAAGGGAAGGAATCATGAAGGTCTAGCAAGGCAAACAGACTGAGAAGTAATAAGAAAACAATGTAAGAGTATCTCTAATTGGCTAATCTATTGGCCAAAGATTCTAAGGGGTATGCTACAATCTCAACATGCCCTATCAGAGATAGGCCCTTCTTCTGACACATTTTGCATCTTTCCCAAAACTGTTTACCATGAGAGATCCTCGGTCACCTATTATCAGATCCATAAAAAAGAAAAGATATCCAGTGGTGTTCTATTCACTTTTTTTTTTTTTAAAGATTTTATTTATTTATTTGAGAGAGAATGAGAGAGAGAGAACACCTGAGAGGGGATAGGGTCAGAGGACGAAGCAGACTCCCTGCCGAGCAGGAAGCCCGATGCGGGACTCGATCCAGGGACTCCAGGATCATGACCTGAGCCGAAGGCAGTCGCTTAACCAATGGAGCCACCCAGGCGCCCTGTTCTATTCACTTTTAATGTTATGGTTAGTTTGCATCCCAGGGTGTAAGTTTGATTATATGTGAATGTTAAACTCGGTAAGGAAGGGAATGGTGATCAAAGTTTTCACAAATTATGCTTTGCAATGGGTATGCCATTAGCAGGTGGAAAGAAACAGCTTGCAGGAGTGTGAATCTTTGAAATGAATGCCTGGGCCAGACACAGGGGGAGTGATGGTTATCTTATACGGAGAATAGGAAACAATTATATCCTTCAAGTCCTCTCTCTTACCTCACGCATCTTCAATCCCCTCACTCCTTTATAAACCTCCAAACATCCTCATCTATTCAAATTGCCTGGTCACTTATGGCAGCAAATATACATGGAAGAAAAATGAGAAAAGATGTGAATGGGAATGAAATTAGGTTCTTGGTATCACCTTGAAAGAAAATTAATATCTTCTTTTAATGTGATGTGAGCTGCTGAAATAGTTAAATCATAGAATCCTGGTGATTTAAAACAACAGAGTTCATTTTTTAATCATGCAAAGTTCAGGTAGCAGGAAGGTAGGGTTGGGGCTTTCTGAACTCTGTTATCATTTAGGATCTCTGACTGTTGGAGATTTTATCTTCTTCAACATGTAGTTTCCATGGTCCCTTTGGATGCAATATTCAGTTGGCACCAGGGGTTGAAAGAGAGCATGGAGGCTATATGGGAGATTTCTCTTTAAACAGCTAAAGGAAGAAATGTACATCACTTTTACTCTCCTTCTTTTGCCCAGACACAGTCACATAGCTACATCTAACTGCAGAGGAAGTTGGGAAATGTAGACCAAACTGTATCAGCAGGAACAAAGGAAAACAGGTTTGGTGAACAATTAGCCAATCACTGCCACAGTGTCTTTCCCAGATTATTATACTTCATCTGCAAATACACCCAGCTCTTGCATCCTAAGTATGTGAATTTAAATGGTGTATTTGTTACAATGAAATTCTACTACTTAACAAGTTTACCTCCCAATGAAATGTACTATAAAATGAATTGCCTGTAAAAGGAAAATTTTCATTAAAATTCCACACTAGCTTATTCGAATATGAGTTCAACTGCATAAAAACATTTTAGAGGGGCGCCTGGGTGGCTCGGTTGGTTGGGCGACTGCCTTCGGCTCAGGTCATGATCCTGGAGTCCCGGGATCGAGTCCCACATTGGGCTCCCTGCTCGGCGGGGAGTCTGCTTCTCCCTCTGACCCTCCTCCCTCTCATGCTCTCTGTTTCTCATTCTCTCTCTCGCAAATAAATAAAATCTTAAAAAAAAAAAAAAATTTTTAGAGTCTCTTCATTTACATTAAACAACTAGTGGCACTGTCTCTACTTGGATTTCTTACTTGTCAAACTTAGTATTTCCAAAACTCTACATTTTTTTTTTTTTAAGATTTTATTTATTTATTTGACAGAGAGAGACATAGCAAGAGAGGGAGCACAAGCAGGGGGAGTGGGAGAGGGAGAAGCAGGCTTCCTGCTGAGCAGGGAGCCCGATGCGGGACTTGATCCCAGGACCCTGGGATCGTGACCTGAGCCGAAGGCAGACGCTTAACGACTGAGCCACCACCCAGGCACCCAAAACTCTACATTTCTAAAACCAAATATGTGATCTTCCCCTCCATACCTCTTCCTGTCTTTGTCATCTTAGAAAAAGACCTCTGGACAGCCCATTATTCAAGCCAGATCCTGGGAAATAACTCTTTATATCTTTCCCCCAAATCCCCATCCAATTCATCAGCAGGTTTTACTTTCAAAGTATATCTTGGATTCCTTAATTTCTTCCAGTTTCCCCTAATCCAAGTCAATCCACTTTCACCTGGATTCCTGCTGTAGCTTAATCTCTACTTCTACCTTTAGGGTAGCGCCAGTACTTTTACGTTTTCTTAATCTGTTCTTTCTCACATAAGTCAGATAGTCATCCGAAAATCCTTCTGAAGATTTGCATTGTGCTCAGGATAAAATCCAAAATCCCAACAAAAGGCTTTGAGGCCCTGCAAGAATCTGATCTCTAGTCTCCTCTCCAACCTCACTGGCCAGCCCTTAACTTTGCTCAATCTGTACCAGACTTTCGGTTCCTTGAAAAGGGCAAATGCCTTTCTGTCTAGAGGCCTTGCCACACAGTATCTCCTCTGTCTAGAGGCCTTGCCACACAGTATCTCCCCTGTCCCGGAAAAAAAAATTTTTTTTTAACCATAATATATATTTTGTTTTTACCGTGAAATATATTTTCATATAAATGAATGTACTGATATATATGACTACCATTTATCCAAACACCAAGGCCAAGATAGGCAATTAACCCAACTGCTTCACTCTGGGAAGAAGAGGTATATGGAAGGAATGGGTTTTCCCCCAGTTCACCTATCGATAGAGAAACTTCTTGTCTTCTGCATGAGGCCCATTAAAGCCCAAGATCTAGTCCAGCAGGGAATGGCAAATGCCTAAAGAACAAAATATAGGTGTAGAATTCACTAATATCTCAGGATTCAGGTTTTCACATTAATTTCTGGTTCCTAAAATTTTTTTTTATTTTCCCACTCAGCCACACATTTAAAAATATTTTTAAATTATTTTATCCAGAAGTTTTAGATGTTCTGTACCAGAAGGGTTTATACTGACAACTGGCCCATTATTTTGCCAGAACAAAAGATCTATGGCATACTTTACTACTCCTCTTCATCTGGCTAGCTCCTATTAAGCTTTTAGAGCTTCAGCTTAAAATGTTACCTTCCTCTGAAAAGTTTTCCTTGATCCCCTGATTCCCCAGTCTAAATTAGCTTCTTACTATCGTCTCTCTTGTAACAAACTTCTCTTTCCCTTTGTAACCTTTATTGCCATTTTTGATTATACATTATTTTTGTATTATCTGTCCCTTCCATTATCCTGTAAGCTCCAGGAGGACTGGAATCTTGTCTGATGTGATTATTCCTGAACAGAATACCTAGTGGGGTACTAGGACACAGTAGGTGCGCAAGAAACCCCAGATGCTTCTTAAGCAAAAGAATGAACAGATGCAATTTAATGTAATCACACTGAGTCAGAGTAGTCTTAAATCCTGTGACTGATAAATACTGGCACTATTTAACAGCTTATAAATACTGATTGCCTTCAAAAACTATGTGGTACAGTATAAGATGAATAAAAAGAACAGTGAGTATAAGAGAGGTAGTAAAGCACAGACTCTAGAACCAGGCTGCCTGGATTCAGATTTTGGCTCAGTCACTTATTAGCCAAGTGACCCTTGTTACAGACTTTCACATTTTGTGCCTGTTTTCTACTCTGTACAATCAGGCCAATAAGGGTATTTCATGACATTAAAATAATGATTAAGTGATAAACATGTCAGGCATCTATGGAAGCAAGATATAATTGTTGTGGCTGTTATCGTGACAAATTTAATATTAACCAGTGGTGCCTTCACACAAAGATGGCAAGTTGTATAGAATCAGGAAGGAGAAATAGGCAGGAACGGCAAGCTGTGGAAAGGCAGCTGGGTTGCAGATGCACCATTAAGAGGCAGGAGCGCAAGGAGACATCCATGAGGGAGGCAGGGAGGAAAGGGCTGCACGGGTGCCCACTGCCAGCACACAGACATAACTGACAGAGCGGTTAGGAGAGCAGAGCCTGGGATGGGCCTGCCATCTCTTTTTTGCAACATGCTCGTAACACTTAGTTCACCGGATCCATCACCAACTCTCTGTGGGGAGGATGTCTTTGGATCTGATTTTGGGCTCAATTCATCAAAAATACTTGCGAACGTCAGCCAAATAGGACAAGATTAAGTTCTGCTCCTTTTGATAGCAGCAAGTATCTCTGGGCATTAAAGGCAAATTCTGTCTAATGCACCAGTTTTCCTGACAAATGCAACACTCTATTCGTGGATCCTATTTTTCAAAAAACGAAATACTAGATCTTCCCCATTTTTGGGGTCTTCCTTCCTTTTTCCAACTGCATTTTTCTCTAAATACTGAAAACATATTACACAATATCTTCTTTTGCATCCATTCCCCGCCCTCTAGATCCTGGGTCCATCTAAAAATAAAGTCATTAGAGTTTGTATCTTGTGATATTACACTGACTATAGGTCTTATTATTTTATAAGAAAGTTTTATTACCCTTTTCTCTAGATATAAAACTAGTTCTTTTTAGTCATCCTGAGACCACTTACCCATGGCCCTCCATGAAAAATTTACATTAAGAGGAGTTTAACTACAACACCCATATTAAGACTCTAAAGTTCTATCTGTTGGGATAAAATAACTACAGCTGAATGCTGAGATGAATTAAAACAAAAACAGAATTAACTAGGTCCAAGGAGCTTACTGTCTCTGTTTTCTTCCAGGTGTTTTAAGGTTTCAGGTCTTATGTTCAAGTCTTTAATCCATTCTGAGTTAATTTTTGTGTGTGGTATAAGACAGTGGTGGAGTTTCATTCTTTTGCATGTGGCTGTCCAATCTTCTCATCACTATTTATTGAAGAGACTGTCTTTTCTTGTAGTTTTCAATATACAGGTCTTTCACTTCCTTGGTTAAATTTATTCCACGGTATTTTATTCTTTTTGATGCAATTTAAGTGGGATTATCTTCTTAATTTCTCTGATAGTTCATTATTAATGTATAGAAACACAACAGATTAGTGTGTATTGATTTTATATCCTGCAACTTTACTGAATTTATTAGTTTTAACAGTTTTTGATGCAGTATTTAAGTTTTCCTATATATAATATCATATCATCTAGAAATAGTGACAGTTTTACTTTGTCCTTTCCAATTTGGATGTCTTTTATTTCTTTTTCTTGCCTAATTCTCTGGCTAAGACTTCTAATACTATGTTGAATAAAAGTGGCAAGAATGGGCATCCTTGTCTTATTCCTGATTTTAGAGGAAATGCTTTTAGCCTTTCACATTGAGTATGCTGCAATGTAGAACACTTAAAAATTTTTAAGCTTCCTCTGAACTCTGGAATCCCAATTCTCTGCTGAATGATGAAATCAGTATCACAGGCTAGATTTTCTTTGTAATCAGAGTATCTCTACTCAAGTTTTATTAACAATTCATAAGCAATTATTGCTTCTGCTATCAGGGAACCTAAACCGATGCTGGCTTTACTCACTCACTTTTATTGTGAAAAAAAATTTTTTTAATTAAAAATGCAATATTAGCTCATAATAACAAAATGTATAAAAGGATATTAAATAAAAATTATTAATAAATGTTAGTAAATATTATTAAAATGGCAAGGAAATGTCATTTCCATACCAAATTCTCAGAAATGAAGTTAATTTTTTGTATATATACTTAAACATAAATTTACCATGTGTATATGTGGTAGATTGTTAGAGGAATGGCTCCCCATCAATCATGTCTCCTGGTCTCCATTTCCCATGTGCTGTTTCCTCTAACACTGATTTTCCATGTGATTTGTTTTGGTCAACATGACCTGACAAATATGACACAAGCAGAGGTTTGATTTGTGCTTGTGCACTGGGTCTTGCCTTCTTGGAAATCTGGGACCACAATACTGTGAAGAAGCCAATGGTAAGAAAATGTGTGGGAAGAGAGATCTTAGTCCCACCTGCTGAATGCTATCACATGAATGAATCCAGAAATAACAGTAGAACCACCCAGCCAACTCACAGAATCATGAGAAATACTGTTGTTATAAACCAGTAATTTTTGGGATTGTCTGTTATATAACAATAGATAAATGACACTGTGCCATTTATCACATAAATTTGCAGATCTACTATTGACATTCCTTGAATTTAGTTTATGAAATGGAAAACAAAATTGATAATTACAAAATACATGAAGAAAACACAAAATATGATGAAATTTCATACATAAATAAGGAACAGACTGCTTTGTTGTTTGAGATCTATATTAGCAGTCTTGATCATAAACTATTAATCTGACGTTTTCCCCTGTTTAAAAAGGCTGTGGCATATACATCTTAGCCTCAGTTCTTTCTTTCTTTTTTTTTATTTTTTATTTTTTTTAATTTTTTTAAAAGATTTTATTTATTTATTTGGCAGAGAGAGACACAGCGAGAGAGGGAACACAAGCAGGGGGAGTGGGAGAGGGAGAAGCAGGCTTCCCGCTGAGCAGGGAGCCCG